CATTCCTGCCCAAAAATAGCCCTGAATTATTTGTATGTTTACCTCAAGACAGCAAACAGTGGCTCCTTAAGGCCATTTCAACAGCACTGTTTGTGAGACAAAGGTCAGGTTCAAACCTCTCTGCTCCTCATGATAAGTTGTGATAGATTTTTTTTAAAAAAAAAACCTGGAAGCTCCAAATATACTGGCCGGTTTGGCCCTCAGACTGACACACATGAATGGGATATCCACACACACTAAACGTCAAGGCAGTCCCTTGACTCCATGGAAAAGACAGAGCTTGTAAAAAGCAGGCAGGCTGGCTAGGTAGGACACCATATACCCCAAGCTGGGGCACTTCTCAGCGACAGCACAGCGGAAAACAAACAGGCAGTCCACAGCTGTTTTTCTTGTCCAATACAGACTGGTTAACTTCTTTGTTAAAAGGCAGACCTCTAAGAACATAAATAGCCCTGCTGGATCAGACCAATAGCCCATCTAGTTCAGCCTCCTGTCTTACACAGTGGCCAACTAGTTCCTCTGGACAGCCAGCAACAGGGCGTAGAGGCCGAGGCCTTCCCCTGAGGTTGCCTCCTGGGTCTGGGATTCAGAGGTTGACTGCCTCAAAATGTGGCAGTTCCCTTTTCCCCTTTTGTCATCGACAAGTAGCCACTGTAGCACTGAAGGCGTCTGATTTCGACCTGCTGTGCCTGCTTTTCTGACACTTCTTTGTTGTTATGGATTTCATTTTATTCTTCTCCTTGTTTTATTATTCCGTACAAAATGTCAGAATAGGATCTGGGAGACCAGGACAGAAACTCGCTGAGTGACCTTGGCCCAGTCACCTACACTCAAGCCTAACCTACCTCAGAGGGCAGTTGTTATGCTGATAAAATGGAGAAGGGGTCAGGGGAGAATGTTGTAAGCCACTCTGGGTCCTCATTGGGGAGGAAAGTGGGACAAAAACGGAAATAAAACAATAGAAATAAAATAAATACGTCTTCCAGGCATGAGAATAAAGTGTGGAGAATAGATATTGTCTCTTTTTCCATCCTGAGAGCAAAAAAAAAAAGACTGTTTTAGTCAAATTTTGAAATAACTTCTAAGTGAAGTGACTTCATTGTGCTCAGAATAATGAAATTCTGCTTAAGCCTTCACTGATTAGCTAAAAGATTAGGTGGAAAATAATAACTGTGGGATTTTTGTCAGCTGATCATGCTATAAAAGTCTATAGTAAGGCTACAAACTGTGCTGAATCTTCTGAATGCTATGATTTTGGTACTGAAATGTGCTCTTCCGTGTCTTTCCGAAGTGAATTTTTTTGGTCAAGCTGATGGCTACCCCCCCCCCAAAAAAAAACAACCCCACACCATGTTTGGTTCAAGTCCATCTGATAAAGACAAACAAAAAAGGAGGGGGGAACAGGTTCTCAATGTTAAATGAGAAAAAGGAATCCAAAATGAAAATATAAACTAATGTACTGAAATACAAAAATTGTCACAAAATCTGTACAATTAATAACACACATAAAATAACTCCATGATAATAAATTGTCAATTAAACTCAGTTCAAAACTCTGTTGCTTAAAAATTAATGCAAACTTCACTAGGGTTCTAAGAAAGGAGAACGACCTCAGGGAAAAACGAAACACTAGAATATACGATGCCGCGGTGTAGAAACAGGTGAGCAGATAAGTATTCCCATTTCCAGACTCACTTGCTGTCTCTATGACAGTGGCCGTGATGTAGAGTGATGTTCCATTTAGGTCCTCTAGGGGGTGCCCCAGCTTGTTTGCGAGGAGGCTGCGTTTTAGGGTCACTGAGGCATGGCCGTCGACCACCTGATGTAAATTGAAATTAGGGTGGAGATGGGGGAAATAAGATTCAGTTATATTGTACACCGATTAAAGTATACACATGACTTTACTGGGTCTTGAGGCAGAGAGAGGGGAGGAGACTAAGGTTTCAGGGTCTGTCAAGAGAAACAAATCCAGGGAGAGAAGGAACTGGAGTCAATCCGGGGCCTGTCCAGGGTCAGATGTAGGCCTGGTGCATTGGGTTGCCAAGCTCAAAGTGGGCCCTGGAGATCTCCTAGGGATCGGGTTGGAGATCTCCCACTTTCAGGGCCCACCTCTCCGCTGCCAGCCGGGCCTGTGGGGGGAATTACCCCCCTCCCAACAGGGAAAAATGCAGAAATTAAGTACAATGTACCTACATGACCCAGAAGTGACGTAGGCACGTCGGGGACGTTGCGGGGCAACACTCTGCTTTTTGGACAAAATTCTATGATAGAAGCTAATTGTGCCATAGAATTTTGCCCCCAAACCAGAGAGGCCTCTGATATCCCCAGAGGTCATTTCGGGAGGGATCACGGGGGATCGCAGTTCCCCCGGGTGAGGTACAGGGGCGGGGCACATGACGAAGCCCCGCCCCCTGCTTCCGGCCGCCCCGCTTCCGGCCCTCATTCAGCCAGGAGGAGGCAGGAGAAGAGGGAGGGTAAGTTGCTTCCTCCCTGCCTCTCCCCACCCCTGCCTGGGGCCAGGGAGGACCGTCGCGGGGCTTCCTTGCACTCCCGCCGGCCTTGCAGGTCCACCGCCAGGCCCCTCATGGGGCTCGGCAGTGGAGCTGCAAGGCCGGCGGCGGCAGCCGGGACCGTTGGGGGCGGGGTGTGTGGCCTTATGACACACTTCCGGTGATGTCAGGGGGTGTGGCATATGCTAATGAGTTATGCTAATGAGTTCCCCTAGCTCTTTTTCTACGAAACGACCCCTGGATATCCCTGACATGCCTACGTCACTTCCGGGTCATGCAGGCACATCACATTTATTTTCAGCGTTTCTCCCCACTCCCGGTAAGTTCACCCCCATCCCCCACCAGCAGGCCCAAGGGATGCGGCTACCCTAAGATCTCCTGAAATTGCAACTGATCTCCAGGCGACAGAGATTAGTTTCCCTGGGGGGGGGGAACGGCTGCTTTGGAGGATGGACCCTAAGGCATTATACCCCTTCCCCAAACCCCTCCCTCCTCAGGCTCCACCCCCAGACTTCCAAGATTTCCCAACCTGGAGTTGGCATCACTAACACTATGATACATTTCTGAAGTGGAAAAATGTTCTAAACTTCATCTCCCTTTCCAGACCCACTTGCCAAGTGACTACGAACCCCTTTCACCCTCCCTTATGAAAGAATCTTGCACCGATTAAGTTGATATGTTATCCTTCATTTTTAATGCTTATAAACAGGGGTCATTTCGGGGGGGAACGCGGGGGAACACAGTTCCCCCGGGTGAGGTACAGGGGGCGGGGCACACGATGAAGCCCCGCCCCCTGCTTCCGGTCGGGGTAAAATGGCGATTTGACGCACCCTGTAAGTGCTCAGGGTGGACGGGTGTTCCTTACAGCAGTTTGGACTGTATTTTGGTCCAACGCGGCTTCCCCCAGGCAGGGGGAATGACTGGCAGGCATCAAGACCCAAGAGAGAGTTGAGATTGGTGTGATCAAGTCTCGGAGGAGGCTTGTATTACACTTTGATCCCCTCTCCCGAAGCGGGCGAGCGCATTCAGGGGGTGTGGCCTCATGACATACTTCCGGTGATGTCAGGGTGTGTGGCATATGCTAATGAGTTATGCTAATGAGTTCCCCTATCTCTTTTTCTACGAAACGACCCCTGCTTATAAATATACAGCATTACTGAGCAGTCGGCTGCATTTCCAGGCCAATGTACTCTTTATTCAGACACGAACTCAAATTCTCCCAGCTCACCCTCTTCCCTCCTGACCTTGCAATCCACCCCAATGTTCCCTCTAAGCTGTGGAGTCTTGTGAGCAAAAATTCTACTTTGTGAGCTGCTGGCATTAAAGTTGTGAGCAAGCGATTTGGCTGCTGCATGAATCAGTTTGCTCTGGAGCCATCCTCCCTGAGCAAAGACAAAAATGTGTGAGCCAGAGGCTAAAAAACTGTGAGCTAGCTCACACTAAGCTTAGAGGGAACACTGGTTGCAACCCCACATTTTGGGCCCCAAACCAGTCTGAGAACTGCCCTAAGGATCCATTTGCCTGTGGCCTGGCTGAAGTGGGAGTCTGTAGGGGAAGCTGATACTGCTGGCCCATCAGCCCTTGCTCAATTCAGAAAATAACTCTTGATTTTAAAAAGAATTAGTAGCTGGCCAGAATTTTAGGAGTTGAACCAGTCCACCTCTTGCGCCTCTTTTCAGTTCCAGGGCTCAGTAAAAGAGAGCATTTTGAGCCAGTACAGAGAACTGTACAGTGCAATCCTAAGAAGTTGCACCTTTCTCTGTGTGTGTAAAGTCTGTCAAGTCACAGCCCCAGCAAGGGGCTTTCAAGGCAAGTTGAGAAGCAAAGGCGGTTTGCCATTGCCTTCCTCTGCAGAGCCTTCCTTGGTGATCTCCCTTTCACATACCAACCCTGCTTAGCCTTCAAGATCTGAGATTGGGCTATACCATGCCACCTTCCCTCTTGCACCTTTCTGAGACCACTGAAAAGGAAGTACTTCTTCACCCAAAGTGACATGTGGGATTCACTGCCACAGGAAGAGGTGGCGGCTACAAGCATAGACAGCTTCAAGACAAAATTAGATAAACATATGGAGCAGAGGTCCATGAGTGGCTATTAGCCGCACGGTATAGAGGAAACGCTCTGTCTGGGACAGTGATGCTCTTTAGTCTTGGTGCTTGGGGGGCAGCAGTGGGAGGGCTTCTGGAGTTCTGGCCACACTGGTAGATCTCCTGATGGCACCTGGGTTTTGGCCACTGTGTGACACAGAGTGTTGGACTGGGTGGGCCATTGGCCTTATACAACATGGCTTCTTTTATGTTCTTATGAAACCCATGGACTTGCACAAGGATTGTGCTGCTAGTTCCACACTTGTCTGGAAACAGAACAAAAACCTCCGGGCAGAGAATGTGGCTTCCCCGCAGACCGGAATCCCAACATTCCTCACTTTAGGAACCATGTACCTAATGTGCGTATTTGTGTGTTATGTGCCTTCAAGTAGCTTCTGACTTACGGCAACCCTGTGAATTAATGACCTCCAAAATGTCCTGTCATTGACAGTCTTGCTCGAGTCTTGCAAAGTGGGATTTAGGAAGAGTACCAACAACCTAGAGACCTGGCCTCTTAATGGGCTGTTATTTACCAAGTGACGCTGCTTACCTCCCTCCCTGCCAGGAAAAGTTTCCCCTGCCCACTTCCACACATTAAGCCTCTATTCAAAAGACAGGGCTTTCTCTCTCTCTCCAGGCTGGTCGGCAATCTTAAAATGGGACACTGAGAGCAGCAGAGGTGCAGAGATATCTGTGTTCTCTTACCGAAACTTGTTGCTCCAGTCCTGGGATAAGAGTTTTCTCCCCATTCTCATCTCTCACACCAAATCGCACATAGGCTGTGCCGCTGACACCCTTCCCATAGAAGAATCTGTTCAGGGAGGAATCCAGGGAGAATTCAGAGGATTAGCTTCAGGATGAGAGGCTGATATTGCTAGGTTCACTAGTATGATATAGCCAGGGATCTCTATTACGTAGCAGAGTGTACAAGGCAGCAGCTTCTCAGTACTATGTGTGATAGCAGAGATCAGAGGTCATTTCGGGGGGATCGTGGGGGATCGCAGTTCCCCTGGGTGAGGTACGGGGGGTGGGGCACATGACGAAGCCCCGCCCCCTGCTTCCGGCCCTCATTCAGTCAGGAGGAGACAGGAGAAGAGGGAGGGTAAGTTGCTTCCTCCCTGCCTCTCCCCACCCCTGCCTGCCTGGGGCCAGGGAGGGCCTTCGCGGGGCTTCCTTGCACTCCCGCCGGCCTTGCAGGTCCACCGCCGGGCCCCTCATGGGGTTCGGCAGTGGAGCTGCAAGGCTGGCGGCGGCGGCCGGGACTGTTGGGGGTGGTGTGTGTGGCCTTATGACACACTTCCGGTGATGTCAGGGGGTGTGGCCTTATGACACACTTCCGGTGATGTCAGGGGGTGTGGCATGTGCTAATGAGTTATGCTAATGAGTTCCCCTAGCTCTTTTTCTACTAAACGACCCCTGGCAGAGACACAAAGTTACACAGAGCCACTTGTCAGTTTTAAACTAATAAGAGTACTTTATTCAGAGACCCACATTGTAGATAGTATAGGTGAGATGCAGAATGTGACTGATTTCCCACAAGCCGCTGCTCCGCCCTTGCTATTCCCTTTCCCCCGATTGTATTCGTCATAAAACAGGATCAAGAAGACGCGGGGGAAATTCGGCAAAGCTGTGAGTCAAAATGCAGCCGCGCAGCAAGTAGTGGGAAATTGACAAATACAATCAGGGGAAGGGAAGAAAGAGGGCGGAGCAGCGACTTGTGGGAAATTGGTCTGTATGTCCTGCATCCATGTTGCCAGAGTTGGAGAGTGTGCTCCTTCTTAGTGTGTGTGTGAGAGAGAGAGATTAAGCCGGAAGGAAGGAAGTCTTGTCCCTAAGAATAGCATCCTACTTCAAAGAGGTGGTATCAGATAGCAAGAAGGAAAGGATGCTCTGTATGTCCTGACCCCTTTCTATCTAACTAAATCTATGGTGCTGTCTCTGAAGTCTGAGGTAGTAGACAGCGTGCAGTCCTGCACTTCCAACAGATTTATGGCCAAAAGGTATATGCTTATCTCTCCCCTGCCTCATTTTCCCACCATACGATTTCCCTTCAAGAGCACCTGTATTTGCTGACCAACTTAGCGACTTTACACAAGGAGAGTGGATATATGTAAAATTTTAAAAATGGATCTCAAAGGATATCAGTGTGGAATGCTTCCTCCCTTAAAAAAACCCCCCAAAACCTGTGTCTATAACATACCAACAAACTGAGCTCTGATAGATCATCTTGCTCTGGTTGGGTCACTGCTGCCTTCATTGCTTCTTGGTAGGCCTGCACAGTCATGGTTGGGAAATTCCTGGAGATTTTGGGATGGAGTCTTGGGAGGTAGGGTTGCCAGGTCCCCCCTGGCCACTGGTGGGGGGGTGGAGTGATAGGGTTACCAGCTCCAGGTTGCGAAACTCCCAGAGAATTGGGGATGGAGCCTGGGGAGGACAGGGTACAATGCCCTGGAGTCCACCCTCCAAAGCATCCATTTTCTCCAGGGGAACTGACCTCTGTACTCTGGAGATGAGCTGGTCCCACCTGGAGGCTGACACCCCTATGGAAAGGGCCAGGTTTTTTGAAGGGCTTTGGTGAGGTGTAATGCCACAGAGTTCACCTTCCAAAGCATCCATTTTCTCCAGGTGAAATGTTCTCTGTAGTCTGGAACAATGCTCCCTCTAAGCTGTGGAGTCTCGTGAGCAAAAATTCTACTTTGTGAGCTACTGGCATTAAAGTTGTGAGCGAGCCATTAGGGCTACTGCATTAAATAGTTTGCTCTGGAGCCATCCTTCCTGAGCAAAGACAAAAATGTGTGAGCCGGAGCCTAAACAACTGTGAGCTAGCTCACACTCACTCAGCTTAGAGGGGACTCTGGACTCTGGAGATGACCTGAAATTCCAGGGGATCTCCAGGTCCTACCTGGAGGCTGGTACACCTATGGGGAGGGCAGGGTTTGGAGAGGGGAGGGATCTCAGCCAGATATAATGCCACAGAGTCCACCCTCCGAAGCAGCCCTTTGCTCCAGGGGGACAGACCAGTTGTAGAGATCAGTTGTAATTCTGGAAGATTTCCAGGGTCCCACCGGGAGGTTAGCAACCCTATGGCACAAACCCATTGACTGGGGGAAAGGGTGGCGGCAGTGTGAACCAGAGGTCATTTCGGGGGGGATCACGAGGGATCGCAGTTCCCCCGGGTGAGGTACAGGGGGCAGGGAACATGACGAAGCCCCGCCCCCTGCTTCCGGCTGCCCCGCTTCCGGCCCTCATTCAGCCAGGAGGAGGCAGGAGAAGAGGGAGGGTAAGTTGCTTCCTCCCTGCCTCTCCCCACCCCTGCCTGCCTGGGGCCAGGGAGGGCCTTTGCGGGGCTTCCTTGCACTCCCACCGGCCTTGCAGGTCCACCACCGGGCCCCTCATGGGGTTCGGCAGTGGAGCTGCAAGGCTGGCGGTAGCGGCCGGGACCATTGGGGGTGGGGTGTGTGGCCTTATGACACACTTCCGGTGATGTCAGGGGGTGTGGCCTTATGACACACTTCCGGTTATGTCAGGGGGTGTAGCATATGCTAATGAGTTATGCTAATGAGTTCCCCTAGCTCTTTTTCTACGAAACGACCCCTGGACTGTGAACTATTTGACCTGCTTTGGTAACATTGCTCTGTTTCTCATGAAGGATACAAAAATTAACTATAGGTCAAAACTAGACCGCTTTTCCACAGTCCAGGCTTTTAACCCTGCTGACGATCTCTCCTCCCCTTCATGGAAACCTCAGCCCCCACTCCCACATAACAAACACATCTGAAACAGAGGAGTCTCCAAGTGCCACTTACTTAGCCTGAAGGTCAATTTGCAAATCAGAGTCCTGCTGTCCTGAGAGGAGAAAGTATTTCCGTTTCGGGATAATCGTCACCTCAAAATTAGGAAGCACTAATGGGAAGAAGACGATGACACGCATATATTTTGCAAATGCAGCTGGCCCTTTATCCCCCTGCGAGCAACCTATGCCATTTTTCACTACTTTTTTTTTGCATTTGTGATTATTTATTAAAAGCACCACAAAGGGGCCTATGTTTAACATCAATGTCATTTTTAATGTTAACAATTAGGGTGAAGTTGTTGACCTGATCCCTGATACGATTAGTTGATGACTTTAGCTGTATCATCCATGGCTGGTCTGTATGTGTCTTCTGTCATCAGGGAATGTTACTCTTTTTTTGGGTGCCAGGCCAAAAACATTTGTTTACCCAGGCTTTTCATTACGGGGTTGATCTTTTAATACCACCTTTATAGTATTTTTACTCTAAATTCTGTTATTCATGGTAAGCTGCTCAGTTTTCTATTTTTAAAACCCAAGTGCCATCAGGAGGTCCCCCAGCCAGGGCCAGAACGCCAGAAGCCCTCCCACTGTTTGCCCCCCCCCCCCAAGCGCCAAGAAGACAGAGCATCACTGTCCCAGACAGTGTGTTCCATCTACACCTTGTGGCCAAGAGCCACTGATGGACCTCTGCTCCACATATTTATCCAATCCCCTTTGAAGCTGTCTGTCTTTGTAGCTGCCAACCACTTCCTGTAGCAGTGAATTCCACATGTAACACCTGGTAAGGCCCATTGCCACAGAGTCCCCCCCCCCAACTACATGCTACCAGGGATGGACATACAGGTGGTATACAATGGTGACATTCCTGGTGGGCACAGTGGTGGTATTCCACATACCACCTGGCACCATCAAGGGAAAGGACATACGGTCAGTGAGAAGGGTATGCTCAAAGGGAGGCATGAGTAGGCGTCCGGTCCTAGTGGTAGTCAGAGGAGGACAGGGGTGTCCGTGAGCATTGTCTGTCTAGAACCACCCTCAAAACCTGGAACTGGTCCTGGGTTCTAATCCACTTTGCTCATCACCATGCCCCCACTGCTGCCTTCTCCTCTTCTTGGCCATCACATCCAAGTCCCACGGCAAGTCCCATGGCAGGTGCCTCAGGGTGCATTGTGGCTTCTACTGCAACTCAGAATGGTGCTTGAACTCCAGCTGCTTTGCTTTCCTCATAGCCATCACACCATCTGCCAGTAATTTTGTGGAGGGATTATCCCCAATGTGGGGGGAATGGGTTATAAAGTTAGGTTGTTCTGCAAACCTGAGGGTTCACCAGCAAATATGCGAGTTCACTCTCAGTCTGGGGCAGGTGATGCTCTGTATTCTTGGTGCTTGGGGTGGGGGGGGTCAACAGTGGGGGGGGGGCTTCTAGTATCCTGGCCCCACTGATGGACCTCCTGATGGCACCTGGTATTTTTGGCCACTGTGTGACAGAGTGCTGGACTGGATGGGCCATTGGCCTGATTCAGCATTGGCACCTCTATGTTCTTATGTTCAGTTTGCACAACCCCCAACCATAGTGCCTAGTTCTGCAGAACCACCTCTGTGCAATTAGATACAGTGAATGGAAAAGTACCTGTTGAATTTTGGCCAAAAAAAGAAAAAAGACACACACACACACACACACTGAACCTACCATATTTTTTCACCTCAAACTCTGTGGTCATGTTGGAACCCGGGACATCAGCAAACTGGGCTGTTATTCGCCAAATGCCAGGCCTGGAAAAGAGGAAGACAAAGACGGCAGGGTGAAATTGAGCCAGTGCATTGGGCAGAACCCAGAAAACCTTTGACAGTTCCGCAGGGCCTGCAAGCCGGAGCTCTTCCACCAGGCCTTCAACTAGGAGCTGCCACCATTATCAATAGCAACTGAAACCTATAGAGCCTGGCCCTTGGTTTCCTACTGACTGCCTGTGCCCGCCGATTGTACCTGCGAAGATCAGCGAGCTGAACATTTAGAAAAATTCTGATTTGCACTCCTGTGGTACAGCCATCTTTACGACGTCAAGAGAACGCTGCTAGCACTTTAATATTGTGTTGTTTTTAATGAGCTGTTTTGAGATGTTTTATGGTAATTTGATTATTATTATCAGGGGTCTTGTTGTAGAAAAAGAGCTGCCGGAGCTCATTAGCATAACTCATTAGCATAACTTATTTGCATATGCCACGCCCCCTGACATCACCGGAAGTGACAGAAGGCCACACCCCCTGACATCACCGGAAGTGTGTCAGAAGGCCCGGCTACTTACCCTCCTGCTTCATCCTCATTCCCAAACGGAATGAGGATCGAAGCAGAGGGCGGGGTAAAGAAGGGGGCGGGGCTTCACCACGTGACCGCCCCGCCCCCTAGAGGTTCTCTTCCGGAGCTCCGTACCTGAGAGCTCCCCCCCGACTAGAGCCCTGATTATTATGTATTTACCTTGTGTAAGCCGCCCTGAGCTTGCCTTGGTGGGGAGGGCGGGGTATAAATCGAAAAAAAAATAAAAATAAAATAGATAAATAAAACTAGTTCAGCATGCCGAAGGGTGCTCCAGCCTTGCATTAGAGGGGCTGTGGCTCAGTGGTAGAGCAACTGCTTGGCACGCAGAAGGTCCCAGGTTCAATTCCTGGCATCTCCAATTGAAAGCACCAGGTCGAAGGTGATGTGAAAGACCTCAGCCTGAGTCCCTGGAGAGCCACTGCCAGCCTGAGTAGACAATACTGACCGTGATGGACCAATAGAATGGCTCGGTATAAGGCAGCTCCATGTGTACATACAGTGGTACCACTTTGCCTATCATGGCAAGTAGCCTCCTGTTCCCAGCCCACCAGGTCCCTGCTGCTGCTGCTCCTGCCTGATGGAGCAGTGAGAGCATGCTTTATCAAGTGCCCCCCCCCCACCTTATTTCAGCACTTGAAAAGGCACGGGGGGGGGGGGGAGACAAGAACGTCCTGGCCTTGCAGAATTTTAAAATCAGTTTTAAAAGGCACCAGCATCCTCATGGCAGCCATGAAGAATAAGCCTGCTTTTATAGCCTGCTTTTCTCTACTCTAAGGAGTTTCAATGCAGCTTACAATCACCTTGCCCTTCCTCTCCCCACATCAGGCACCTTGTGCGGTAGGTGGGGCTGAGAGAGTTGTGAGAGAACTGGGACTGGCCCGAGGTCACCCAGCTGGCTTCCGGTGGAGGAGGAGTGGGGAATCATTAGAATCTGCCGCACTTAACCACTACACCATGCTGGCTCTCAAGAAGAAGAGTTGGTTTCTATACCCTGCTACCGTGAGGAGTCTCAAAGGGGCCTACAATCTCCTTCCCTTCCTCACCCCACAAAGCGCACCTTGTGAGGTAGGTGGGGCTGAGAGATCTCTGAGAGAACAGTGACCAGCCAGCAGGCCTCATGTGGAGGAGGAGTAGGGAATCACACCTGCTTGTCCAGATTAGAGTCCACTGCTATTAACCACTACATTACACACTGGCCCTGGAAGATGCCATCACATCTAGCTTGGCCCTCGGTTATGATGCCAGCGGTCCCCAACTTTTTGATCCTGTGGGCACACTGCAAGTCTGACACAAAATGGCTGCCACGGGAGGTGGAGCCAGCCACAAAACGACTACCACAGTGAAGGTCCTTGTGCAGTGGGGGCAGCTGCTGTAGGGTTGCCAAATGTGTTTTACCTGGCGGCGGGGGGCTCCCGGCTGGCGTTCCTGAGCATGCGCGCGCATGCCGCATGCACGTCAGCCGGATGGGACGTGTGACGCCGGGCACGCTGGAGGCAGGGCCACAGCCATTTGAGGGGAAAACATAGAGTTTTCCCCTCAAATGGCTGTGGCCCCGCCCCCAGCGTGCCCAGCGTCACACGTCACATCTGGCTGACGTGGACGCCGGGGTGGGGTTTCCCCCGGGGCCCGATTCCGCGGCGTCGGAAATCGGGCCTCCAAAGCGGGGGGGGGGAATCCGCCCCCCGGGGGGATTTGGCAGCCCTAAGCTGCTGCCAGAGCAATGTTTTAAAAAATCTGCACAGCCAATCACATCTCCAGTGGCCAATCAGAACCCTTGATATTCAAAAGCCACACCTGGCCCCATTTATTTTCTAAAATTGCTCGGCAGGCATCAAGGAAGGTGTTGGCAGGGGCTACGGTGCCCACGGGGACCACGTTGGGAACCCCTGTACCATGCTGTGAAGGCAAAAGGGGCTAGGTTAGCCTGGACGTTGTGGGGTCCTGCTGTCCGAAGCAGCTGCCAGTTGGGTGGGTAGAAGGGCCAGCCGCGGTTGCACAGCGGGTGGAGCTTACTCGGTGATTGCAGGAATTGTCAGTTGGTCCTTTATAACGGAATCCACGGCCGCACGCTGATCTTTCCGGACCTGAAGACCCCGCGGGTTCTAATGGCAACAGAAAGATAGGAAGAGAGGGGTTTCTTCAATGGCTTCGTAAAAGCATCAAGGTTTCCCATCTGTTCTCTTCAAGCTGCAACAGTAATTTTTTTCATGAATTGGCAAAGAAACTCAAACAGCTTCCAAAGTTACCTGAACGGTGATGAGGACGGGTTCGAAGGTTGGCCTCAGCTTCTGGTCCAGGGCAAAGATTCGGAAATTCACTGGAATGAAAGGATCCAAAAAATAAGGGCGAAGAAGACAGTAAAGGCATATCCAGAGCCAGACAAGCACCCAGATACTTTTCCTTTCCTTTCTGTATTAAAATATTAAAATCATTATTTACTTCTTAAATAGCAGGAATAACTATGGTATGTTTTTGTCATTTACAACAAGAGGACCATGTTAGGTCGGTTGGGGGGCTTGTATTTATATGGGCAACACATGGACAAATGAAGCTGCCTTCTACTGAATCAGACCCTGGGTCCACCAAGGTCAGTATCGCCTACTCAGGCTGGCAGCAGCTCTCCTGGGTCTCGGGCAGAAGAGGTCTTTCGCCTCACCTGGTCCTTTGTAACTGGAGATGCCGAGGACTGAACCTGGGACCTTCTGCATGCCAAGGGGAGGCTCTGAGCCATAGCCCCTCCCTGATCAAGATATATCATTTCTAGTACAACAACTTAGTGAGCTGGTGAATATTATTTGTACTCTACTTGTCTCACTGAATTATGAATTGGGGCAGTCTTTATTCACAGCCCATGAGTCTCACTAAATCAATGTCATATATTACTCAAACAAAGAGATCTGTATTCTGTATATATCTTTATTTCTAAATTTGAAAGACGCTGAACTGCAGGCTGTGGAAGGTCAGTAGTTCAGCAGTTCGAGACCCGGGTGCCGTATGATGGAGTGAGCTCCCATCTCTAGCTCCAACTCCTGCCAACCTAGCAGTTCGAAAGCAAAAAATTGCAAATAGGTACCACTTCAGTGGGAAGGTAACAGCGTTCCGTGCGCCTTGGTGTTTAGTCATGCCGGCCACATGACCACGGAAACGTCTTCGGACAGCGCTGGCTCTTCAGCTTTGAAACGGAGATGAGCACCGCATCCCTAGAGTCGGACTCAACTGGCTTTCGAGCAAGGGAACCTTTACCTTTACTTGTCTCACTGAATTATGAATCGGGACAGTCTTTATTCACAGCCCATGAGTCTCACTAAATCAATGCCATATATTACTCAAACAAAGAGATCTGTATTCTGTATATATCTTTATTTCTAAATTTGAAAGTGTGTGTGTGTACATAACGCAGTCCAACAGGACGGCATTTGCAAGGAGGGGAACAGCGTAGGAAAGAAAAGAGCTCTTTAATCTTTTTCTCTCTTAAAAAAAAGCCACACCCAAGAAACGTTTACCGTTCCTGAGGAAAACTTAAAGGTATCTGTATATTTGTTTCCCCCCAGAGCAGTGGATGAGCAACTATGGGCAGGCCAGAATCCAACAGATAACTTTCTGAAGACTCTCTTTTGACTTACACAGCCTGCCAAGGGATGGGGTGGGGGGGAGAGAATGACAACACTAACATAAAGAGAACATTGTGCAACTATTTGGAGGGGTACAGGTGGGACTCACCCTTTCCCCCAGGAGTATAGATGGGCTTGTCTGTTTGTACAAACAGGTACCCCCGGCGAGTGCTCCAACGCAGGTTGAGGGTCTGGATGCCATTGGGACTGGGGAGGTCTGAGCTGCGAGCAACAAGTTGGATGTACCGGTCTCTTCGCAGGGTAGACAAGCCGCACTGCTCAAAACGTTTATGGGTCACCTGAGAGAACAAGAAAGGGGGGGGGACTGAGAAGAGGAGGAGACACAGAGCAAAGGCTCACTTCTTACAGAAACAGCAGGAAATCCTCCAGGGTGGAGCTACTGTTGACTGCAGGCGAGGGTTCTCGTAAAACTTGGTGTGAAATCCCTGCATGTAGAAAACGAACTGGGAAAGCTAGACTAGAATGCTTCTCACTGTCCAAGAAGGGGTTTTGTAGTCTCAAGTGGCAGGGTCTATGTTCAATCAACCAACTATTCTGCTGTTAGTCTGCATGAGGCCAAAGAGAGGAGCAACCCCCCCCCCATTTTGGCAGCCAGGATCATGGCTGAACTTCACCGCTCCAGAGCTGAAAATGACCTGGGACACATCTTGTCCAGCCTTTGGTAATTTTGACAGCAGCCTTTGCCTCACTTGCATGAAATTTTTTTGAAAACGTTTCAAAACTATGCCCCCTTTCAAACAGCCTTGGTATTTTGTTTTAGCAGCTGGTTGCTAATGGATTTTTTTCTTTTTTGTCATTTCAGACAGACCCGTTTTAGCAACCAGCCGTCAATGGATTTTATTTACCTTTTCATACAAAGCCACTTGCATTCGGTTAGCAAAGCATGGTTGAGCCATTTTTGAGGGAAATTGCTTTCTTTCATTTTCACTTCTTCATTGCATTTCTGAATCCCTGTGGTGTGCTGTTTAAAATGTCCATAGCGCTTCCTACAATCTGCTTCTCCCCCGCCACCCTTTTTCACAGTGAACTTTTTTAACATTCTAAGTTGATCACTACAGTGCTAAAGCAATATAGCACTTCAGTGCTACAGCAGTACCACTGAGATGCCTTTTCACCACTATAGCACTCAACTTTGAACATTCCAAAAAAAGTTTGAGGAAGATCATGTGGCAAAAAAAGGGCCCGGGGGTGGGGGGTAAGTGTGGTGCTGTTTGAAATGGCCAGATTGCTTCAGGGATGGCTCATTAATGGATTGAAATTAGAACAATAGAATCATAGAATTGGAAGGGACCCACAGGGTCATCTAGTCCAACCCCCTACACAATGCAGGAAATTCACAAATGCCTCCCCCCCACGCCCCCAGTGACCCCTGCTGCATGCCCAGAAGATGGCAAAAAGCCTCCAGGATCCCTGGACAAACTGGCCTGGAGAAAAATTGCTTCCTGACCCCAAAGTGGCAATCAGCATTTCCTTGGGAATATAAGAAAGGGCCATGAGAACTAAGCACTGAGACAACCCTTCCTGCCCTCCCTCTCATGATCTGCCTAACTCTCAGATGGCCATCTAGCCTCTATTTGAAAATCTCCAAAGAAGGAGAGCCCACCACCATCCGAAGAAGACTGTTCCACTGAGGAACCACACTGTCAGGAAGTTCTTCCTAATGTTTGGCTGTATATAACCTCCATTCCTGCGTTGCTTTACCCAGAACTGGCCCAGCAACAGATAACACCTGGTTTAGAATGGTAATGTGAAAGGGGCCTATATGTAAATTTTTTAGGGTTGGTTGTCATGAAAGATATCCAGCTTTATATATTCCGATCTCCTGGCGATACAGTAGAGGTCCTAAATCACTGCCTGGTTGCTGTGGTAAACTAACAGTGAACAAATTGAAACTAAATCCTGCAATGACAGACGTACTGCTGGTTGGGAAGGTGGAAATTTTGAAGGACATTGTGCTCTTCACTTTTGATGGAGTTCAGCTGACCCTTGCTGACTCAGTTAAGAGCCTTGGTATTATACTGGACTCAACTTATTGCTGGAGAAGCAAGTTAATGCAGCTGCAAAAAAAGTTTGAGTCCAGTGGCGCCTTTAAGACCAACAATGTTTTATTCTGGGAATAAGCTTTAGTGTGCATGCTCACTTCTTCAGATACATAAAACTGTCTTCCAACTCAGCCGACCCAAGAAAGATGGCCCCTTACCTTGATACAATACAATATAAAGAGAGAACCACAGGAATAAAGTTGTGTAATACAGAAAAAAGTGGTTATATTAACAAGAATATATATTTCAAGAATAATAAAGAGTGCAATCTCAGCAAGTCATAAGTATAAATATACATTCACATTGGAAACCTTTATGAAGACATGAATGCTGTCTGTGAAATGTAAAGATGATCTCATATTGTATGTGGCGATTGTATTGCGATTGTCCATCTATGAAGACATCTTGGTGAAAAGGTTGGGGTTTTGGCTAGGATGGACAATTGCTATCTACTGCTTGAAAATATTTGGATATAACTACTGGGAAGCAAGTGACTACTTGAAAGCAAGACGCATATAACATTTTGTATATCTTATCTACAGAAGCACTTTAAAGCTTGTATATTACAACCGAAAATGACACCAGTCTACTATCTTCAAAGAAGCATTTTATTGATGGCACAGCACACTATTTCTTCTTTTCTCTGAAGAATATTGGACTCCCGCTGCCTCAACCAAAAGCCTGGCGGAATAGCTCCATCTTGCAGGCCCTGCAGAACTGAGTGAGATCCCGCAGGGCCCTGATCTCGATGGGGAGCATGTTCCACCAGGTGGGGGCCAGGGCAGAGAAGGCCCTGGCCCCGGTCGAGGCTAGACGGACGTCTCTTGGGCCAGGGACCACCAGGAGATGTTGCTTACTAGAGCGTAAAGCTCTTCGTGGCGTATACGGGAAGAGGCGGTCCCTTAGACTTACTGTGATTGGTTTCCATTACAGTGTGATTGGAATGTATATTATATGAGCCTTACCTTGATACGGCTGTCTTGGCCACCTGGATCCTGGCCCCAATGACATCGAGACTAGATTACTATAATGCACTGTACATTGGTCTCTCTTCAAAAATCAATTTGGAAACTCCAGTTGGTGCAGCTTGGCAATTATTGGGAACTCGACAGGATACACCCATTTCTCCCATTCTGCAGTCACTCCACTGGCTGCCCATCAGTTAGCGGGCTCAGTTTAAGGCATCGGCCATCACATAACAGAGCACTTCATGGCCTTGGACCTTCATATCTGCAAAACCACCTCTCCCCCTACGTACCACCACGACAGCTTTGCTCATCTGAGCAAGGTCTTCTGCAGGTGCCAAATGTGCAAATGGGCATAATCAGCAGCTGCCTGTGCACATCCTTCCTTCATTGTGGATTCCCACCTTATGGAATGGCCCGGCCTGAGGAGGTCAGGAAGGCTCCCGTTTTCCTGGCTTGCCAAAAACCAGGGCTTTTTGGGTAGAAAAGGCCCATCAGGAACTCATTAGCATAATAGGCCACACCCAATAACAGAAACTCATTAGCATATTAGGCCACACCCCATGCATTCCCTTGGCTTGCCCGGGCAAGCTGGCCCTTGGACAGGCCGGGGAAGGCACGGGGAGGCATTTAAATGGCTCCCTGATCCGTCCAGGGGGCCCCCTGGCCCGCCCGCCTTGGAGTAGCCGGGGGTGTGTGTCACTCTGTAGGCCCTCCCTCTGCAGCCACACAGGCAGAGGTTGTGGCTGTAGTGGGTGTGGCCAGCTCTGAAGCCAGACGGAACTCCGTTCCTGTGCGTTCCTGCCCAAAAATAGCCCTGCCAAAAACTATGCAAAACTGAATGATTTAGCAGGGAATTTCTACACAGGCAATATTGCAGTGTACTAAATGACTCACAAAGTTACTTGGATAAATATTAGGGACTGTGGTCTATGCTACTCCAGGGTGGTGGGGGAGGAGCTCTTCTGAGGCCAGGCGAGAAGTGCTCCAGAGAGCAAGTTCCCAGTGGGAGGGAGGCGATGTGAGGCGAGTGGGGTGGTAGTCAGGGAGCCGCTGCAGCCTTCGCAGTTTCTCTCTCTCTCTCTCTCTGGCGTTAAACCTTACTCAACTCTGCCCACCCTTTTTGTCTGCACAAACTTGGGTGCTGGCTGCGGAAGCCACCCCTCTCTCCCTCCCCAGCTGCCTTAAGGTAATTAACGGAGTTAATTTAATTAGTTCAGTTAATTAGCACCCCCCCAGAAAAATGCCTAGCTACAGGCCTGCTTCCAGTGTGACCCGAAAATGATGTCATCACACCAACAGTGATGCTCTGGCATTCGCCCCAAACTCTATGATACAGCCATAGGCTTTGGGACAAATCCGAGTCACGATTGAAGTGACATCACAGTGTTGAGCAACACTGATTCCCCCCACCCCCAATTTCCCCATCCATTTTCCTCTTCACTGGCCAGGGTGAGATTGAGAGCAAAAGCTGGCTGTAACCAACCCAATTATATAATTATCATCCCTGTCCTCCTCACATCTGAACTGGTTCAACTCAGCAACATTCAGGGGTCATTTCCTGCCAGAGCACACAGGAGCGGAGCTCCGGCAGTAAAGAGCCCAGGGGGCGGACACATGCAACAAGCACCGCCCCCTGCTCCCAGCAGCCCTCAGTCAGAGCAAGAAGCAGCCAGGTAAGTTGCAGAGCCCCCCTGGCCCCCTGGTCCAAAACAATCCAGTGGCACCTTTAAGACCAAGTTTTATTCAGGTACAAGCTCTCCCTCCTCTGCGAGGACAGATCTGCATGCCCCCCCCCTTCCCAATAGCTAACAATCCAAAACGGTCCAGTGGAGCCTGAGCGGTGGGTGTTGCCTTCTGACACACTTCCAGTGATGTCAGGGGGTGTGGTGTATGCAAATAAGTCATGCTAATGAGTTATGCTAATGAGCTCCTGCACCTCTTTTTCTACGAAATGACCCCTGGCAACATTGACATGTATATATAAAACTGCCCACACCAAAATCAGTGGTATGTTTGGCATTCCACGTATTGCTCCAAAGTTATGGAATTAATTCTCCGAAGGGGCCATTTCAGCATCTCAAAATGGTGTAGAGGGTAGCAGGAGTCCCTTCCCCGCATACCATAGTTCCAAGAAGAAAAGGGTTCCCTCTGATTTTTAAAGTGACATTTCATGTAGATGCTGTGTGTGACTACAGGGAATGCAAGTTGGACTGAGGAAATCCAGACACCACTCGCCGAAAAGGTAACACCTAGTTTCTCCCCATTATT